TCTCCACTCGTTAATGTAGATCCCATTTAACAATCAATCAGCACGGCTAACAGCGACTAACATACCAAACAATACCAAACATACACAAACTGGTTACTCCTTCATTGACTGTTCCATTCATGCTGAATTGCCTTCTGTGCTACGTGTGCTTGCTATTTGGTTAAACAACGTCAAACACGGTCTCCCAACCGACTCACCGGGCTCCTCGGTGACCCCATGCTTGGGCCCGAAAGGGGAAGGCGACAAGCGCCAGCCCTGAGAGAACGACACCGAAAACTAATTTTCTGAGAAAGAGATATAGCATGATATAGCTGAGTCATAGATGCTGAGTGATAGATTCGCATTGAGCCTTAGACCTAACTGAGTCGGATCTAAAAACCCTATATCATTCTGGTTCAGTTTGGTATAACTGGGACATCACTGGGATCTCTCACAGATCAGTGTAGCAAAAAACAGAGTTGGAGTCTCGCAACCCGTTTCAGCCCGGATGAAAACATCCAACTGGCCAACATCCAAACTGTCCAACAAGAGAGTTGAGTTGGATTGGGGGCTTTGCTGCAGTCGTCTGACACTGGCTGCTTGCGACTGTCATCAAATTGGCAGTGATATAAGTGACATACAGTAAGATATAGATATAGTGCTTCAAATACCAATCCTCTTGATGATTCAAAGCGTTTGTAAACAGCCCCTGAACGCCAAATTTCACCGGCCCACCAGTTGCAACTCTTATGAGTGTGAACCGAGGGCATGTTGATGAACATGCAAGCTGATTGAAAACCATCACACACATCTTCTCCTTGAAAGGCAACCATTTGAAGTTCCGTAGCATGGAGGCACATGACAAGCTACAGTCTTCCATATCTATCAGAAGACATCAAACATTACCGCAAATCAGCAGGTTTCCGTGGCTTCTTTTTGCCTGCTAGATCTGCGCTTCAAGGATCTTCCATTGGTTCCTTCCAGCAAGGCCCAGCAAGCCTGGCCCCCTCTCCCAGTTGGCGGTCCGGCCTCAGCAAGGCCTAAAGCCTGGTGTCCCAAGCAAATCCCCAGCAGCGGTGTCTTCAGTGCTCCAGCTCGGTACAAGACCAGTGACCAGTGAGGCGCCGAGCGTGACCCGGAGGTTCAGAGAAAGCAACGGTGGTCTTTTGGAACGAGACAGTTAGAAGCTGTGCCAAAGTGGGGATCTTGAAAGGATCAAAAGGATTAAGATCAAAAGGGACTATATAAGCCATGGGATGGTGGGACTGAAGGCCTTGTTGGCTCAAGAAGTCTCGGACCTGAATGCACACCTCAAAACTTTTTTGTCATGTTGCTTGTTTTGCCCACTGAAATAGTGGCATTGACCTCAAGATCCTCCACAGATTCCAACGGCCGACCCTAGACAGTGAAAAGGGCCATCTGTCCTCGGCTCAAGAACGGAAGAATTACCTCTCTCCCCAATTGAAGAATGGCCTTTATTATAATCACACGTTGCAGAACCTCTCCAATGAGAGGGTGCAGAACCACAGAACTTCCAAGTTTCTGTGATCCACATTGGATTGTTTACTCTGTATCTTTCCCCAGGATGAACAATTTATTCAGAACAAGTGCTCTTGGGAGATACATTTGTTCAGGCTCGTGTTCAGAGCAAGCAGCATAGCCACCAAATTCATCGCCAAAACAACTTGGTTGAGAACAAAAGCAATCCCATAGACTTGAATAACATAAAATGAACAAACGAAAGACACAAAAAAACAAAAAAGTAAAATATAGTATATATAATACAATACTTGGTAATGATCTATAAACCGTATTAGTATTATGTACATTTACGTACAAGCATCTTATCTGTTGGAGCGAGGACGACACGCACATCGACGAGCACTGGGATGTCCAAGGAACTCAGGGCCAAATGAGCGAATGCCATGGTCAAAGGTGAGACTTCCTCGGTCAAACACTAACTACAACACCACGGTTTTAGAGGTGGCCATGATCGACACAGTTTTCTTTTTTTCCGGACATGCAAAAAGACCTTGACCTAACGTGATCCGCCCGGCACGTGCGTTTTCAGTGCGTCTTGTATATTTTTGATCGCGTTTTCTATAGCAGTCAGTGTTTTCCGTGCGTTTCCCATGGGCGTCTGCGTTTCCTGCGCGTTTCCTTTGCCAACTGCAAAGAGACATGTTTCACTTTCTGTGCCACTTTTTTATTCTTGTCTGGCATGTCAGACAAGAAAGAACCACGGACAACCGGGGTGCTTTTTAGAGCTGAAAAACACACAATGGACAATGGTGTCAATTGCCTGCTGCCAAGGGATACGTGTGAGAGAGAGAGAGTGAGAGAGAGAGAGAGAGAGAGAGAAAGAGAGCGAGAGAGAGAGGGAGGGAGAGAGAGAGAGAGAGAGAGAAAGATGCACTGTAGACCGAGAGAAGCCGGATTGCTTTTCTGTCCGAGAACAACCAGATTGCTTTCTTGGAGCTACAGGAAAAGCAAAATATGGTGTCCATTGCCTTCTGCTAAGGAAGATGTGTGAAAGAGAGAGAGAGAGAGAGAGGGAATGAGACACGGAGTGCAAACCGAGAGAAGCCAGATTGCTTTTTTGGAGCTACAGGAAAAGCAAAAAGGTGTCCATTGCCTTCTGCTAAGGAAGATGTGTGGGAGAGAGAGAGAGAGCTTGGCCAGATTGCTCTGTCAGAGCTGTTTTGGAAAAGCAGCAAACCAAGGAGTATGCGTTTGGAAGACAGAACGGGAGAGATAGACCGAGAGTAATCAGATATATTCAGATTGCTTTGTAGGGCTGTAAAAAAGCAATCTGGCGTCCATTGCCTTCTGTTAAGGAATATGTGCGTGGGAGAGAGAGAGAGAGAGAGAGAGAGAGATGAGAGAATCTTACATCCTCTTAGCGAGAAGTTCCTTTATGTTCCTTTATGTTTCATAAGCCACCAAAGTACCATTTTGGTCATTTGACATGGCCCAAACTTCCTTTGGAAAAAAAGTGTTTCCTCGATGTTGACCTGCGTTTTCAACGCTTGCATTTTGAGCGCATTTCCGGGTGTTTCCGATAGAGTGCGTTTCCTACCCGGCAGCGTTTTTCCACAGCTTAGTGAAGGATCTGGACCCATCTTTTCCATGCGGGTAGCTCAAAATATCTCCAAATCCAAACCAAAGGATTGTGTCAGGAACCAAGTTTAGGAGAATGGCAGTCATGATAACCTAGAGAACAAAGCAGCTTTCCTGCTTTCAACTCAAAGCAAATGAACAGTAACATCGGATTCCCGCTCCGCAAGGGACTTTATTTGTGGGGTGAGTTTGCTGCGGCCACAGCTGGGGACTCCCATGAAGCAGAACATCGTGCACACAGCACTGGTTGCTCAATCCTCCATCCCTAGCTGCAACAAGCCCCCAGTGAGAGTAGGGTCACAATATCTAAAATGTGAGAGACTCAAAGAGGTACTTTCAGGGTAGGATTGAGTGTCCAAACACCAAGCATGGAGAATTCAGGCCAAACGAATGAATCATCGATGGCAAACATGTCTGACATTCAGAACACTATCTAGATACCCTACAGTGAATCCCGAATGTATCGGAGGACGGTCTAAAGCCACCGAATCGTCAAGAACTTGAAGAACGGTATGGTAAGGCTTTAAACCAACCTTGCCGCTGGGATACACACACACAAAGTACCTTCAGAAATCCAGTCCTGACTGAACCTCTGGCAGTCTTTCAACTCCCACCAGTCCCTCGCAACATTAAAATTCATGCGTTCCCCACATGAAGATTCTCACCAGCTGAAGATTCTGGATCTCCACATCAGAACACAGCCAAACATTGATAGAATTCCATGTATCGCTCTGAGGCTTCATTGCAACAAAACAGTGATAGTAGCCCACATCTCTCACCCAATTTGATTGCGGTGAATCGGCTCCCAAGTTGAACTCAAATCATTCACCCAGACTGGATGGCTCCCATCAAATACGGCCATCATGTTGGCCAACTTGTTGGATATGGTAGATTTGTAGGTCAAAACCCGGCATCCTGGTTCACCCCTGAAAATGAACAGATCCCTTTAGAACTCCCTTGATCAAGGGATGTCTGCCTTGCAAAGTTTGGTGGGGGAGGTTTTGACTCAGACTCACAGCCATGGGTTCACGTCGTCATGAACCACATCCCAGGGTCGGGTCGTCCCGGGCCAGGGCCAAGCACCACGTGGCTCGGGTTCGCGCGAAGCACCTGCAGTCTGTCGTCTAACAATTGTCAGGGGAACCGGGGAACCTGGAGCCTTTCGGTTTTTCAAATATGTAGCCATGGTACTTTGGGCCTCCTTATACATGTGCTTTGAGGTGTTCTATGTAGGTAATTACTGGAGGCGGTGTTTTTTGGGGGTTCGGAACAGTACACCTCCTGAGGAACGCCCTTCTAGCTGCTCCGGGATCGAGCGGAGAATCAGAAGCTTGAGGAACAACCACCTACAATCCACACAAACACGACACACGGGCAACTCCGTCTTCTGGTCTTTCCTCAGCATTCTCAGGGCACGCAACCTTTGGCGATCCCTGCTGGCTTTCGCTGCTTTGGCGTACTCTCGTTGACTTCCGGGCGTGGCATCGCTCTGAACAAGGTCTCGGACAAATGAAGAGGGCAGTGTAACTGTAGCCCCTGCAGTCTTAACTTGAAAGCTACAGCTAGACTGTTAGACACATTTCAGCGGACCAGCCCGGTGTGACTTACCACCAGCTTGCCCGTCTTGGGTGAAGCTGGCCCTGCACGGCCATTGCCACACAGGACAACCCGACTCGATCTGTGCAGATGCCGCTTTGGCTTTGCTGGAGTCAACGGTTTCGTTTGGTCCCGGATCAACGGTTTTTCGGACGGAAAACGGGACTCTCAGGTCTAGCCTTTCATAGGACTCCTCCAGCTCCGACTTGAAGAGTTTGGCCATCTCAGGCCTCTTTTCTATCTAGCTTTACACACAAGGAAGACCTGGAGTTCATACTGCCTGCATGCTGGGCGAGCTCATACTACCATTTCTCCAAGGGTATGTGGTGGAGTCCCTCCATTCTGAAAACACCTCTCACTTAAACTTGTCTTGAGAGCTCCATCAATCAAATTGCCCTCCTACTTGTGAAAGCTGGCCCTCTCAGCAGGCATCGCTTTTGGGCAGATCTCTACCATCGTGAAGGTCTGCTCGAAGCTCTCCCAATCCATCCAGAAAAGCCCATCAGCTTTCTCATCGACACCTTGGGCAAAGCTGGCAATCAAAGAGGATACAGTACTTGCTGGCCAAAAAGCTTCTTTGTTCAATGTCCAGCTTCACGTCAACTGGAGGCTGGAAGCTTGGAACGTGCCTCACAACCAAGAGAACTATATAAAAGGCGTGAATAAATCCTGAAATACATCGAACCAATAGAGCACGTCTGACCCTTTCAACAAGGTATTCATGCTGAGTTAATTGTGTCCTTCACAGTTTTGGGTATCCTTCTTCTACCTCTCGGATATCATATCCTTTTCGGTCTGTTTCTCTAACCTTCAGCCTGCCCTGGCGATCATCAGAAGCTTTTCCGCATTTCCAAGGACCTTCGCCCAGCCCAAGTTCTTGGTTGGTAAGCAACATTGAAGGATCCTTCTGAGTGCAGTTACGGTATTTTTTCTCAGGTGTCTGAGAAACATGACCCTGAATTCTCACATTGTCCTGAGATTTTGCAAACCAATCAATCCCTCATCTTGGTCCAACAAATGGTTGAGAACAAACCTATGCGCTTTTTTTGAGCTACTGATGTACGAGTATCTCACCCCAACAAAGTGGCGCATCTTTCTTCCAACTCGGTAGAGCAAGTGCAGCCAAAAAGAGCTTGGACTAGAAGTGCAATGAAGTACATTCATGTCTCACGATGGAGAGAACCCCTTTGAACCCACCACAAAACGGGTGTCTGTCTTCTGTTGCCCTTCCCCTTGGCAATGGGGTCTCCCTCTTCCTCGACACACCCAAACCCGCTTGCGCCACCTTCCGACCAGGTAAGCCATGGGAAGTCCCAAGGGCTGGGAACTACCAATATCGACAGTCTGCACTAATTAAGTAGAACTTGTATGTCAATATGCTGTATGTCAACAGCTCTAAAGACTCCAAATACCGCTTGAAGTAGCTCAACCATGCTTAAGTCCCCTCTCAAAAGTCTTCCCAACTCATCCCTCCCCCTTCCCCCCATCTTCCTCGGCTGCTCGGCTCCCAGTCCAGCGGCCCAAGGCTTCAGCGATCTCCGGATGGGCGCTCCACTCGTCGCTCTGGTCACACCATGGGCCGTTCCACTCCATCTTGTTGCCCCAGGGGTTCCTGCATCCGGCCGAGTGGAGCTGCCCAGTTTTCGCAGCCAGGGAAGTACAGCTATCGGCTTTGTGAGGCCCAAGGGTCAAACCAGTCATTAGAGGCCCAACAATCATTGGAAACATGGTTTTGATGGGAGGTGAAGGGTGTTTGGGCGACAGACTTCACTGAATGGAGATGAAAACTGGCGGTGAACCGCGGCGAGCATTGTCATGGTCCTGATTTGTCATGTCCCGATTCAGAACGGCTAATCATCCTTCCAACATTTTGTCCGACCGGGTTGCGTTCTGTATTTGGGGACTCACTCCAAAGCTGGCACAACCACTGGCAAGTCCATTTCTTGAAGAACCACCAGAAGCGGAAATCGCAGGCTTATCCAAACAAGTTGGCATTGACAAGAGACTACAGTGACTACTGTGGATGGACTATTCCTCCAGAAGAGGACCTGCAGGTCCTCCGTTCAGCAATTCTTGCAGTCCAGCGGATGATGGTTGGTGCCACATTTGAATGATCCATCATTACTAATAATATCCCGGCATGGATCACCCGGCACATGGGGTTGTAACACTTGTTCAAGCATCTGAGCGAGAGAAATTGCAGTTGCTTCGGAACAGGCGGCAACGCCCCAAACATATGAAGTAGGAATGACTCTTGCCCTCCTCAGTGTCCCAAACGCAAAAGTTCAGGTTGGTGTGGACGTCTTACTGCCCGGCTGCTGGAACTCAAGGACCCCTGTTTGAGACCCACAATATCAGGACTTTTGAGATCAAAGCAGGAGATGGCAGGAGTCAGGTTCTAAGCAGTTCTAGTCAAGTGCCATGGGGAAGAAATTCATGCACTGCAGGAGAACTTTGTAGAACTCTTGCCTAAGGAATCCTAAGGATATGAGCAATTGCCCAACTCTCTCAGGATCAGGATCAAGATCTAGGTTCTGATTCTGAGAGGATTGGTCAAGTGTAACATCTTCCCTTTTCAAATTCCGAATGCGCGATCCTCGATCCTTTCGCCATCCACCCTCGACTGGGTGGAGTTCACCCGAGTGGGCCACGACCTGGGGCCACGCGAACGCACCGTCGACGTTCGTCCGGGTCCTGCAACAAATCAACTGCACACCGTTGAGTTCCGCCGCATGGATGACGGAGTAAGCGTGAGCTTCCACCAAACCATCTTCGCGTCGGTGCTCACCTTGGAAAGATCACTGCTCCGAAGAAACACAAGCACTGCTCCAAGTGACTCAACAGACGTTGGACATATTTGGAAATCGTTATTCTCTGTGGCCTGTGGCCCTCTAAAGATAAACAGTGTTGCTCTGTGGCCGTTGGACATGTTGCTCTGAAAGGCGGAGACCTTATTTCAAAGGAACGGGGTATTCTTGGAGCAATCAAGAACGCAATGGAAGTCCCAAGTCGAACCCGCCCTTGCATTTCATTTCGTATATATATATATACATACACAGTATATACACAGTTATATACATAACTCTACCCACTAGAGTCTTTAGGTCTCATACATACGTAAAACAAACACAATAGGCAAAACAATACCAAGAACTAAGGTGCTGTGGGATCCCTTTGAATGACACATCAAGCGAAAGGCGCAATTTCAAAGAGTTTACAAAGACTATACAAATGATCATGCCGGCGTCACGCTCATGCCTGTCCGTATGAATAGACGCTCCCATGAGGAAGTTGGCTCGGTCATATTCCTGCATCTTCTTCCACATGCCTTCACGATCTTTGCGATCCTGCACGCTCGAGGTACGTAGCGTACCAAAGCTGATCTTCTCTCGTGCATAGTTCACTTCCATCTGCTTCCACCTCGGATTGTCACACTCAAACGGTAACATACCGTAACGTCTCGAACCCCACTCGCCACAGTAGCATTGACGGGACTAAGCAAATGACCCCCGAAAATGCACTCTGTACCCTCTGTCTGCGCTTCTGGACATCCCGTTTGTTCTCACAAGAACAGTCAAATAGACGTCATGTCGAAACTATACATAGTTTTTGTTTTTTCAACGTAACATATTGTTGTACTTATTTGTACAATCATGCGAGATTTGAATATCGTTTAGTTCCAAATGCTGGGATCCACCATATTCTACCTTGGAGCTTATGATACACATCTTCTCTATTCTGAAGGAAGTTGATTGAGTGGAGACATGTCAGCCAAGGCATGAAAAAGGTCATGAAAAAGGCTTTGGTAAACAACTTGCCTCTCTCCCAGTCCTCTCTCTCTCTCTCTCTTCTCTGATTGAAAAGAATTCAAGGTGTCGGTTTAAGTATACGTTCTCGGCTGCAGGTCCGGTGAAGAACCCAGTACCACTGTCCATCCCAGGTGCTCTGCGGGGTTCCGACACTTCGCCACCTGGTAGCCGCCGATGTAACAAGAGAGCCAGCCTGCATCGGTTCCGGGTTTGGAACCGAAGAATGGACAAGGAAGTGACAAGGTCGATACCTGGAAGGAAACTTGAGTTTATCGTCCAAGATCAACCAAGTTATATAAGCATCACTGGAGTCTGAGAACAACAAAGCCCCGCAAAGCCAGTTGAACTCCCTTCAAATCCCCCCATCACATCCATGAACAAACAAACCAATCCCTCCACCTGAGTGTGACGGGGCATAGGTCATCCACTCCCAACAACCGCCTTCCTCGCAATTGGCTGGCCCGGGGCACCGTGCAAAACCCCACGAAGGCCGGCACCCGGCTGGCCGGCCTTCCTCAGGGCCTTCGCCCTCCAACTTTTTGAAATGGATCCGATACCCGAACTTCTCCACCTCCTCAAAGACCGCGCCATAACCTTGGACGTGGTGGCAAGGACACAAACATCGTGTGGGGCAGCCCAAGACATAGCCGGATTGTTTTTCGAAGCATGCTTGATCATGTGTGTGTGTGGTGATCTCGTATGATCTAGCGATGAATCTGCAGGATGAATTCGGGTTGGAATCCTGGATGGAGTTTTTTTTACCCAGGAACACTGCAGAATTGATTGAAATGATGGCAAAACAATGGTTTCCTAAATGGGTAGGACAACAAGAGGATCATTTGATCAGCGCTTCCAAGCCCAGACTCTCAACAAATACTTCTCAACAAGCTCCCCTGAGAACTCCATCAGGCTTCCTTTTTCTCTACGATCCTCCAGTCCGGTCTCTGCTTGGGTGGAATATGGGCCACCCAAAAAAGCTCTTACAATATATTTTCCATGTTACAGCAAATATATGTAAATATCAGTAAATGACGTTCCTGCATGGTCCTCGCATATCTTAGTGATTTCGTGTGGGTGTCTCCTGATTGACGTGTCCCGACCAACTTCCCGACTTCTTCGATTTCCAGTGGCTCAGTCGCCCCAACTTCTCGCTCTGCAGGTCGCATCCCGCGCGGACTATGAGGCCCCGGGACCCCGTGACGTCCTCGGCGAGCGAGCTGTGTCGCCGCGGGAGTCGCTTCGCGAGGTCACAGGAAGAGCGAGCCATCGGGGCCCCGCGAATCATTCGGGTGAGATCCAAGACTCCCACTTGGGCTGGTGCCTCTGCCTCCACCAGCCAATCACATCCGTCTCGCCAGTCATGGCCATCCAGGCTAAGAAGGAAAAGCCCCCATTCAAGGCCTGGTAAGATCCCGCGAACTTTGCGAAGGCCTTCTCCATCAAAACCTGCATCATCTCCACACGGAGCTGGCGTGGGAGGGGGACCGACAAGCTGGACAGTCGCATTCAAAGGATGCAAAGGCTTAGGGCTTAGAACCTGACAAAGGGCTCGCAAAGGCTCTATCCTTCAATATCATCTGTAGATGGGGCTGTGTATTATCCAGTCAAGTTACTCGAAACATGTCCAAACCCAATCTTTGGGGCATCTTCTGGTGACATACCCTCTGAACAATACCTGGGCATCTGCCAAATCCGGGCAAATCCACATTCAGCGTCTTTCATTAAACCAAGGCAAATCTTGCTATTGCAGTAAGTCTATACGTCTCCACCACCAAACCTATCGTATTGCCCTTGTGTCTCTTCCCCCTCGTCTTCTGCTAACATGCCCTTTTATTTCATCCAATTTTGATTTAGATGTGTTGTCTGGAATTGGCATAGCATCCATGAATGATCTTGGAACATTTGGTCTTGGTCTAAGAACTGCAACCACCCCTCTGCACCTTCACTCTTTCACAGGTGAGCAATCCTCATTCCATACTCACTCCAGCTAGGCTCGGAGAATTGACTTCCAAACCACCTGAAACCTTGATTGCACATTCTAATTGTGCTTTCTTTTATTGCCGATTACTATAGTACACAACAGGCCACGCTATAAACCATGGATGGTCCCTGACCGTGAGGATCAAGCGTCCCTTCAAAGCAATCTCTTGGGGATTACCAAACAAAAGTTTCTCTCAAAAGCAAATACTGATCGCTATGAAGACGGATCACCCTACCTCTCTCTCTCTCTATGTGTATATATATATTTTATATATACTGTACACATAAAATGCTGATGTTAGCTCACCTGGACCGAACGAATTGCACCTTGCCTGCACTGGCTTTGACCCTCTCGTCATGCAACGCGTTCATGTCAGCTTGGTGCCACCAAGCTGCCACATAGAGCTGCTCATTGCACACCTCCGAAAAGATCGTCGAAGCTACGGGCTCGTACCACTTCCGCGGCTTGCAAGGGATGTAGTCATCGATCTCAATCACAGTCCATTTCCTGAAATCGCAAGGATGGCCTTACAAACCTTGAGCATAACCTTTCAGCGGTCCCTAAGGGAAGCTGCGACCTAGGAGTAGGTCGCAGTCAGCCCGTTTACGGCATTACTTGTTCTTTTGCAATCCACACTACAGATTAACCTTCATTCGATTCAGGTGGTGGCAGATGGAGATGTACGATGGAGAAATCAACACCAGCACCGGCACCTTTCTAGATGCCAATTTTTGATCGCCGATTTTTGATCCCTGACCATCCGCAAACTGTGTTGTCATCCATCTTGAATCCAACCTAGCGCTTTGAAATGATGAGTGTTCCTTCACTTTCAAGGACAGAATCATAGATGAATGGACCATTGATGTGAAATGATAGGAACATATAGGAACAAAGAATGCACCGAAAGACTTCAATGGGCACGGGTCACACGTCCACTAATGAGCAAGACTCCTGACTCCTGGCGGGCTAAAACAAGACCTCACTTTTTCCATGATTGTAATTGCAGGACAATGAGACCAGGGTTTTGACATTGCGGATGTCTACTACTTTTGTCCTTCCCCGTGGTGACAAGGCCGCTTCGGGGTCCATCAGTTGCGGCCCCACTATATGACTTGCAGTGAATCCTGGACATGCTCAATGAGGCGCCGCTGTTCCCTGGGTCCGACTCAATGCCATCCGCGAACTTCGATTTCTCCCCTGAACAATGAGAGAGTGAGCGGCTTTTTAATCCAATCATAGAGCCGAATCCGATACTTGCCATCCTCATTGATCTCCTTCGATGAAGTGAAACATGAGCAGAATCTTTCAGCGGTTCTTTTTTGAGCGGGATTCTTTTGTCGAAGGTTCCTCCAGGAAAAGAAAAAGAAGAGGAAAGGTACAAAACAGGAAAGAAACAAGAACTGGTGCAGGGTCATGATTAAAATCAGCTTTCGTGGCAGGCAAAGCATTGGCTGATTGGAGATGTATTTTGCAAACTTGGCGTGGGAGCGGGGTTAGGTAGGACATGGTAGGACAGAGATACCGACACATTCACGTTTGTAGAAACCACTGGAAACCATCGACGCCAACTCCTGGAGAGTGTTTTGATCTATTGACTCTCTTCAAACTAGTGTAATAGTAGTTGTATTATATATATATAACAGTAGCTACATGTATGTGTATAATATATATATATATGTACAATGTATATGTGATTATACCAAACCATTGCATGCACAGGGTATATTTATATATATTATAGTAAAAATTCCAATATGGGCATTGGCTTTTCCCACAGGTATTGCGACATCCTCTTCTAAAACATGCCATCGTCTTTCCTTTGCTCAAGCACGGTTAAGACAGTATCTAGACTTACTGCATATAGTCTTGTGCTGTGGTTCAAACATTCCATTCATCGGGTTTGGGGGTAGCTATCCGCCAAACTGATCGAAGCCCAGCCTTGGTCTCGAACAGATGGTCGCGGAAGAAGTTGGGGAACTCCGCCGCCCCAGCGATGGCAGCAATGAGCCAGCAATCTCCCAAAGCACCTGAACTGGACGCCGAACTACAAGCCATACCCGCCAGAGGCATGAACTTGACTTTGATGGCCGGGCAAGAAGAACACCGTTGAGTGATACCCAAAAAGGCGCTTTCGAAGAAGGAAGGCAAATGTATTGACAAACTATCCTCACAAATTGCTTATTTACCACAACCTGACATACTGCACGTCATATGAACTGGCATGTGAGCTGACATAATATCTTCTGTCCTGACAGCTTTTCTGGAATATATTCTATTCTGATGTACATTCTGAGATCTATCCTGACATCTGTGTCCAGTAGTTAGACCTGGTGGCGTATGTTCTGACATTTGTCCCAGCATATTTTTTGTCGCTTGTTCGACATCTGTCCTGGCATAGTTCTGACATCTGTCCTGCTCGCTATATTGGTGCTGGCGCTGATGCTCCACGCCCACGTGTCAATTGTGTGCTCGCCATACCGGCACGAGGCCGGGCCCGCGAGCAGGCACACTTGGCATGATCATACACAGGAGTACAACATGAGCAGGACAAGGAGCAGGAGCACACATGGAGTACAGTAAAATCTAAGAGACCTGACCCTCACCTGACAGCTGGGGTGAAGACAGTCTTTATAGTGGTCCCCAAATAGATGGAACCATAAAATAGAAACGGTTTCCAAATACATTTTGAAAGAGATTCTACTTTTCTATCTATTTGATTCTATATATAATGGATTGCAGTCAGCTCGTGGAGCCCACCTTGGCACACATCCGCCGGCTCGATGTCGTCGAAGAGCGCCGGCTTCTCCGCCAGGTCGCGCGCGCGAACCCACTCGCACTGCCTGCTGTTGCCTTGCTTTGCCGGGACGACTCATGTTCTGAGAGCTTCAGAAACATGGACTCTGCATCAGAGCTAAAGTTACCCGCATCTCTACTATAATTCTATGGTGGGAGGCACAATCCGGCTCCTCTTCTGCCAGAGCTTTGTTGAAAGACTGCACCGCACCGCACTAACCGAGAAAATGGGAAGTATTGTATAGTACCGTGCGTGCGTGCCACACCAACCAGCGACATGACCGAGGCGCCAATGCTCTCCTGGGTGTGTGGGAAGGCATCGTCGATCCAGCCGCCCTGGCTGTAGTCGGCCTCCCGGCGTTTGGGGTCCACGCGGACCGCCGTGGTGCTGCCCTTCCAATCGGTGAGCTCTGGTGAGAAGACCTCAGTAGTCCTCAGATGACTTCGGGCATCGGCCAGGTGGGTAACCCAAACTTTTGCCGGTCATGGATGGTGTTACTGGCCGCAAAACAAACGTGTTTGGGTGGTTATACCATTATACCAAAAACCATAAATTAGACGGGCTATGGCTGGCTGGCATCAGCACATTGCTTCCACAGATTTGCAGAACTATTCCCCTTGTACTGCCTACTGGTTGGTTTGAGGCTTCCTAGAATTCCATAGAACTCCTACTAATCCAGCTATCAAAGCCTGGAAGTACACTTAGTTTCAAGCACTTCGGCCTCGCTGCGGTTAGCTTGGCGAACTGAGGTATCCCCTGGCTGCCCAGGCCCCAGAAAAACCCTAAAGCAGCTCCGTGCTCGCCGTGCTCTGGGAGTTTTTGGTGTGATGCAGACCTTCATGGTATGCAAAAGATCTGATTGAAGCACACCAGCTCTTGGCACAGGTCTAAGCGTCAACGAAGAAACCAATTTACCATGCCTCGTGCTGTACTGACTTGACACCTTCCACTCCCTGGCAGGGTTGAGGTCGTGAAACAGCTGCCAAAAGCTATACTGTATTTATATTTGTTCAAACACAGGTTATAGGTTTCGGTAGATGATTACGATCTGCGGCTTCTCAACAAGTTTTTCCCGAAACCAAGTACCCGGCCGGTGATTTTCGTTCACACCGTCCCGTTGAGCCTGGCACGGCCGTCGTAGAGCAACCAGGTGTTGCCCTCCTCGTTGTAGTAGGCAGGTCTATCGTAGTTGGTCTTCTCAGTCTTGACGTAGCCACCCGTGACGTTGCTCCTCAGCCGGCTTGTAAGAGACTGCACATGTAGCATCCGAGAATACCCTTTGTATCCTTTTGGAGGGCCGGTCCTACTTAGTTATCAGGTATCAAACGATACGCGTAAACCGATCAACAGCTCCAGCATTGCGACACTTTTGACTACCCATGACTACTCAAAAGTCCTCAGCTCAAAAGGCCCTCTTTCTTAGAGGACAATGGAGGATTGTTGGAGGGAGGATGTTTTCCATTGGGGCAACTGTTCAGTCAGAGTGTCTCCAAAGAACTTGAAACTTTCAAGCTCATTCCCTGACCCACTCCAAAACCTCAAAGCACTTTGACCAAACGCGCGAGCTACGTGTGCTGGCATTGTGATTCCTCTCTCCAAGATTCCATCGGGTCTTGATGTACACTGCTTCCGCTGCCTTGGCGCACTTCTGCTCATCTGACTCATCTGACGGCGCCAAGACCGCAGCCATCGAGGGCTCTTCGACCTCAAAAAGAACTCATACGTAGCGAATCGTAGCGGCTGTGCCAACCTCACTAATGTCTGATTAATGAATGGGTCCCCCCTCCCTGGGAGACCTCAAATAGTCTTAAACAGTGTTTTGTATTGGTAGAACTTTTCCTCTAGTATATCCATGTGCACGGGTGAAAACAGTTACAAGTATAGCCTTGTTTAGGGTGTATTTATAAATCTGTTTTGGGATTTGCTTAGCTTTATTCAGCGTATACTTACTAATCATATGTCGACTTAACTTGAGATGATCCCGATTTCAAAATGACATCATCATCATCTCATATCACCTCAGAAGAGATATTTTTCACTTGATTGTCCAGAAGTCTCACTGAGAGTAAAAAAACACTGGCCCAATGACCAGAGGCTGCGGTGTTTGTGCACCTGGTTTTGCCAGGTTCGGCCTCAAACAGTCAAGGGTGTCTATGGGAAGAAATCCGTCCAAGATTGAGAAAAAAACATGAAACAACACACGATTGGATGATTGGAAGTGGTGATACATACTTGAGTAGTCTGTTTGTTTTGCTTTTACATGCACTTTCAAGTGGTGCATGAAATTTCTTTCAACCCTTTTCAACAATTCCTTTTCGAAATCTCAAGAACGTGAGGGATGAGATGCAAGGGGTGAATAGACCGGGACCAAATTCGACAAAAACACCTAACTCTCTAGATGAAGCACGTCTTGTGATTGGAGATGCAACAACTGCAACAACAAATATCCTATCTGGTTGATGCTCACTGAATGTACAGATTCCTGCACTTCGATCTTTTCCTCTTGCAAACACCCTTACTCCTTTGCAATCTGGGTCTACACATGTCTACACATCCACTCTAGTTCGTCTGTAAAAATAGAGGGCAAGTCATGGAACCAAGAACTCAGAACTCGAAAAATCAAACTCAACCCTGCTCAACCGGAAAGCACTCAGCCTCTTCCTCAGGCCAAGCTGCAAACTTCCCACCGGTGTAGACATGCCACGCGAGCTCTTCACTCGCCAGGTGGGGCGCCCGCTTGGTGTACAACCGTGCGCTTGCTTTCCAGCTAGTCCTCACGAAGATCTGCCAACGCTGGTGCCTGAGCGTGGGAGGTGGGTAGATCTGCTGCCATGAAATATGGAGCTCTCTGAGCCCTGAACCAATCCCCAAACATTTCTTTGCAATGGGTTCCTTCATGTTCCTTCCTTTTCCCGTCATTTTGTGGGTCAGTGGCGACTCCTCCCAAGCATATCCAAGCACTGTCGGGGAAGGTTGGGCTTGTTGATGTACCCAAGATTCGAGAGAACTCCTAAGACCTCGATCCGATCCGTTCGACAAGTACTAGTAACCCAAACAAACTTCCATTTCAAGCTCCCGGAAAAGGAACCACTATTTTGGTGGTAGTTGCAAGCGGTTCCCCAGGTGTACTTGCAGTGTTTTTGTGGTTTATCCGCAGACTGCCTGGGGAGAGCGACGCGCCCAATATTTGATTGATGGTATAGGGGTTACTTTGTTATATATGTTGGTTGCGTTTTGTCAGATGAGTAAGGCACTTGTTTCTAATAGCAAACATTGTTACTACTAGTAAGGCACCTGTTACTACTAGCGTGGCACTTGTTCCTAGTAGCGTCCGGGTCCGCAGCACCAAGGGGGGCGAAGTTCGAAAGTTTGTTGCGTTTCATGTTTCAGCGTCGTGCAGGTTTTGGCTTAATGGATTCGGAAGCAGTTTTAGGTCTGTGTAGTGTGGTGTTGTTGCGGTTGGCGTTCGAATGCGATCAAAGTTTAACTCTTTTTGACTTTCCAACTCCTTTACAGCCGTTCTTTTTAGTGGATCCGTTGGTGTCAGATTCTTTGATCGAATTGGCGACCCGGGAATTGGACGATGTGAGTGCTTTTGTGTTGAAATGTTCTTTAGATGAAGATCGTCGGTGAAACCAAGCCAGTTCTTAAAACGGATCGCTCAGCTCACGAAGTCAACACATGGTGCGAATGGAGCAAGCGCTGAGTGGGAGTGACCAAGCGGTCTTTTTAGGCACCTTGTGTACACCAGGCGACCTGGGGAACCGCAACCTGGTAGTTCCTTGAAATCTTGGTTCAACTCCACCTTCGATGCAAGAGACTTTCGGTTGAAGAAGAGATATTTTCCCTTCTCAGCATTGTAAAACACGGGGCGACCACCGTAGAAGTCGTCCTGCGGAGGACGAAGGGGCGACAGTCATGCCACAGTCAATGAGCAGAAACAAATACAGTAGGACATCTTCAGGAACAACTCACTTAGAGTAGCGGCAATCTTTTAGGTGGAATTGCTGAACCAAATAGGTTCTTGTTGAATGCGACAGCAATGTATATATATATATATTATATATGTATAATCAGTTTGCATACATTTGCACGTGGTATGCCGGAGCAGTGTTCCTGGACCCTCCAATTGGTCCAACACGCAAACTAATTGGGCGACAAAAAGGTGCCCAGAAATGGTCCAGAATCCAAAACCCATCCAAAACTCTGTTGGAGGTCCTAGATTAAACAAATTCTTCGCAACAATGTGGCCGAAGAACTAAAGAACTAAGACTACCTTCACTATCCTTCATTCTGGTCGGTTCACGGGGAGTTTCGACCTCCTGACTAACCACGGGTGGCCTTGCTCCATTGATGACATATCCTTGACGGACAAACTCATCAGTTCAATTGCATCAGTGAAGAAAAACTAAATTTCTGGGTGTAAAAACATTTCAACGTTAACGTTTATGACATCTTGTGAACACCCCCAACTTCAACGGAATCATCTTCGAATGAAGGTCCCTTGCCATGGTGCCCTGGTATGGTATGGTTTGATTCATGATAACCGCACCCACTCATTGGAGTCCTGCTGGATGTACTCACCATTGAGATCATCGCGTGAGCTCCCCTGGATGATGATGGATTGGAAGGTGTTGCCAAACTCTCCTCAGCTGGACGGTCCAAATCTGGGGGACAACCCCATTCGAGACATTCAACATCGAGGGGGAGACCAGCGTGCCAGCCGCGGCTGGCACAGGCCACGGCATTCCAGCCAAGCTGTGTGGTCTTCAGATGTCTTCGGCACATCATCTTTCATGGCCATGTCTCATCCATAGGTCCGACAGAATGCCCAAAGAGGAAAATGCATTCGCAACTCCAGCAGATGTGAGGATTGTGGAAAATGATCCGACGGTAAATTTATTTCCGTTGTCCTCCCATTCCCCCTTTCCGCAGTTATAGTATTTCTTGCGACTGTGATATGGAGATGATTCTAACACACCAATCATAAAATCTGATCGATCATGAAGATGCGAGGTCACACGACTCAATGAGCTTGGTCAGGTTTGTTTACTGCTTTGGCCCGACTGGACTAGTAGGGTCACATGGGCCAGGCAAACCGTCCGAGGCTCCGAACTGCCCGTCCTCTGCGAAGATCCACCGGAGGAACTCCTCCACCTTCCGAGTCGACCGCGGGGTGAAACTCACTCTCGAAGCTCGTGCAGGACACGAACGTGCAGCAGAACTGCAGCTGGTTCCACGTGGATGGAAGACACGAACGTGGATCCCATGGCCCTCCGAAAGGATTGTTTTTTTGAGGGCCATATAAGGACTGGGCCATGGATCTCTCCCAATTCCTGTAGTTTAGAAGGTGTTCCCGTGTCCTCTTTTATGGCTCAATGCCATAAGTCTAGAGTCCATCCATGAGAATTCTCGTAGAAAAAGAATCTCAAAAACACAAGAATCTGTCTATAGTCTAGTCTTCTTGATGAATCGTTCAAATTGAAGCCATCCTGAATCTGGCCCACCATCACAAAATCTTTCTGAAGAACCTTGAACGTGGAGAAATACTATAAAAGTGAGTGAAAGACCGCCACCAACCCCGGTACTTGACTTAGTCCAGCACCGGAAAAAAAAGGCGCCACTTGGACTTCCTGTCAATCCAAATTCAATCCATTGCATGCTTAAGTGCCTTACTAGTAGGAACAAGTGCATCGCTACTAGTAACAAGTGCCTTACTACTAGGAGCAATGTTTGCTAGTAGAAACAATGAATATTGGATTCTTTCAACTTTAATAAGCTACTAGGAACAAGTGCATCGCTAGTAGTAACAAGTGCCTTACTAGTAGTAACAATGTTTGCTATTAGAAACAAGTGCATCACTTTCTCCCCGGACCTCCGAACCGGGTTCCGCCTGCAACTTGCCGTCGCCGTTCGCGTCGACCCGACCCAGCAAGCGGTCCAGTTCCTGCTCAGTCCACTCTTCCGGATCGAGGGTCCTGACGAGGGGGATCTCTCCGTGCGAGAGGATGGTGGACTTTATTACTTTTTCTCTTGAATCTAAAACCAATCACAATGCTTTGGCTTTCCAAGCACCACCGCTGGGTACAGTACTGGCGGTGAAATTGAATGAAATTCTTGCGCAAGACTGGGAGGCGGATGGTCCTCAAAACGTTGCCCAGCTCGTCACGGGTGATAGAACCATCACCATCCTTGTCAAACTTTTTGAATGCCTCCAAGACTGCGGCATTTTCCATGGCTTCAATACTGTGGCCATCGAGCCCAAAGGAAAGCCACGGCACATCTGCAAGATCTGCAAGATCTGATACGTTTGAAACTCAATGAAGGGAGCATAGGAAGACCATGAAGTCCTTGTTGTGGTAGAGCACTTCCAACAGTACATATTAGTTTGACCAAGGCGAGCTGAAGATTGAGGCAAAGGCCGACCGCTCGAGTACCTGGCTGACCTACCCTCGCACATTCCTATGTGGGTGGGTGACCCAAGGTGACCCATATCTGTCGCGGTCCCCGGCTGACCCATTTGGATTACTCTTCGCACGACCGGTTTCGCAACATGTTCTGCCGCAGGGCCGAACGAATCGTCTCCCGAGTGGACGAGAAAACGCATCTTTGAAGGAAGTGCCTTTGCCATCTGGAGTGCCTTTGCGTTCTTCTAGACTGCTAGCCGCTAACCTATCTCCAAAGATCCATCGAAACCCTCGACGTTGAAGTGAGTCCCTTGCAGCACCACCAATTGGAATTGGTCGTCTTCTAATCCTCTTGCCCTCTTATCAGTCCCTCTTGTCAGCCGTCTCAGTGGCCTCCTGAAGCTTGGGGCTTGTGGGGCCCCGCCCTGGTACCACGAGCACTTCCTCAAGTCACCCGACTGCGACCGCGGCATGACGATGCGAGTTGGTTTCGTAGACAGTTGGCCTCCATCCGGCCTCCAACCTAATAGCGATGGGCCTCCAACATGAGTCTTCTATCACCCAGACATACTGCCGTACCGTATGGGGATCTGCACCGTATGGGGTGGGTGATGGATAGAGGTCCTGAACGACCTCACTTCCAAGTGCAGGTACTGTAGCTGTAATGGGTCAAGGAACAACTTCAATGATCAAAAAGAACATCTGGCACTTTTTGAAGGTCACAAATATCAGCAAATAAAACACAAATGTAATTCTACAGGCTTCTGACGTGGGATCAATATGTATCAATCTGGCTATTCCAATCGTTGTGTATATCTTTCGAAACTTTCTACTCCTCGTCGTCCGCGCTCTCGGTCGGGTGACGCGAGAACACTCACTCTCCTTCAGCCCAGCTTCGGCACCCAGCTTAGCGAGGCCGTTGGCGACGTTGAGGCTAAAGGAGTCCAAGTTGTCTACAAAGAGAACACCTCACATGGCGCCAGGTGAAGGCCACTTGTGGCCCTGGCTGAAGACTGAGGGACGTTGAGCCAAGAACACACCTCATGACACCAAGGATCTGGTCTCCTTTTGTGATATGTTAACTATATAATATTATGACTAATATTACAGTATATATATATATACACCTTCAATACCTTCTTTCAAATTATGATACATTAGCTGTCGAATGACTGGAGTGGAGGCAATTTGTTGTTGGAAGTCGGGATGATTTCGAACGACGATCTTGAAGATCCGACTTCCAAGTTCAGGAGCAAATGCTGAAGACTCCTCAATCCCAAGGGTCAAGAAAAAGACCTTTCATGACCTTTCCAACCAGTGCTCGACCTCATCCATACACTACAGAACAATCCGCAAGTGTTTCCGGAGGATTTACTCGTAGAATCTGACCGATCGGCTGCGGTGCAGGCGTCTGTGAGGTCTGTTTGACCGGCAAGGATACCGCACCCAAACATGGAGCGGCCAGATATGTGATACAGATATGTTTTTATATTATATTGTATAGATTTGTATAGTACACATATAATCAACTTCCTGATATCCTATATTGAGAGTCCATTCTGTCTCTGCATTGCTAAGAGATGCTTGCTGCAAAGGCACACACACACACATACAATCACATACACATTCCGTTTGGCTTCAACCGATATCGGTTATATCTTGCCTACGTAACATCGCCGAGCTCGCTCCGAAACAGTATCTTCGTCCTTTACACACTGAAAGCCCATCATTGCAGCAAATTGGTCGCATACTGACTCACTGATTTGAATCTCTGTCCCCGCTAGCTCTCGGTCGCCCGAGGCCCTGTCGCCGAGCCGATTGAGGAAGCACTCCATGCTGTGGCCCCCAGGAGCTCCAGGTGCCACATGACCTCGCCTTGGCCTCGCCTGGCGGTGTCCAAACAGTGCAAACCGGCCCTCTGACCCTCAAAAATGATACCCGATACCCTTTTGATATCTTTTGGTAGTCATCTATCTTGACCTGTAGACCTCGACCTGAAGTTAAGTTTCCCTAAAAATCTCGGAGCGCCGGAGGCCCCCAGCCTCAGGCGGGGGGAGCTTCCTTGAAGTAGGAGCTTCCTATTGCTAGCATAGCGTGTGTTGGCGCATACTTAATATTACTTAATGAAGTTAGTAGGGAGGCAGGGCTGAGCAGGCATAAGAAGCATCTAATTCGATGTTTCGCTCCCACCTTGCTCACGGAAGGCCTTCAGTAAAGCATCCACGCGTGCCGACACTTCGGAAGGAGCTCCCGACAGGCCTCGGTCACAAAACATGGGGAAACCGATTGGCGGATTTATTGTTATTTTGTTCACATCATTTCGTTGTACATCAGATTGCAAACGACTACTATATGCCCGCAAAGGACTGTAAGTGCGAGCACATGATCCTACGCACTCGCACCCCACGTGCGTGCGCGCAGCGAGCAACGATGCTACTGACAAATGGCACGATGCAAAATACATTCATTTATCCGCGAGTGTTGTTTCTCTTCCTGCCATCGAATGGGTGGCACGGGAAACATCTTTGCCTTCAAACAAGACCTGCAAGATTTCTCCCCAAACAATGACCCCAAGAGCAGAATCAAGATGAGATAAACAGAGTCATTAAACTCTGAAGACGTATCAGTCCCAGGTGGTATGAAGTCCCCGTGGAAGAGTTCGTTGTTCTGTGGATCACAACAAACCAAAGACTCAAAGACCAAGTCATACATTGTGTCCTGGCCACATGGTGACAAGGCCGCGACTGACTTCTTGGACTTCCACATGAGAAGAGCTGCTTTCCTTCACCTGCAGAAAAGGGAATGACTTGATCCATCTCTTTTTGTGAAAACAGAACACCAAATAGATGGATCAAGAAATATTAAGAAGAAAGTTCAAGTTCAGGTTCAAGTTCTGTTTCTAGTTTCTTCATGTTTCTTCTATTTTTATCAAGAAGAAAGTTGTTTGGGTGCAATCTTCAACTGAAAGAAACTGTGAATCAAGTGCACCCTTTTTGGCTTTTGGCAGCGCTTCTTGCTGAGATAAGCAAACATCTACCGTCTACCCCTTCTTTCCAAATTGTGTGTTGCATAGCTTTCTGCAGGTGGAGGGTGGTATTTTAGGCCGATATGATATGACTCGACTCGACCAATGAAGTTTACACGGCCTTTAGTACAGGTCGAACAGCGAAACCCTCGAACATTTCCGTGGCGAGCATGAGTGTTTCCCTGGCCTCCACGAACCAGCTAATTCCACTGACACATCTTTAGCCTTCTACCGTAGAAGAAGAAATGACATGCCACAAACACGACTGGAAGACATGAATGTTTCTGGAACTCCCGAGTCGGACATACTGTGAGAATGTGAGCTAACCGCAACATCGTGAAGGCGAGCTAACCCCCCACCGTGAAAGGATATCTTTCGTAGATGGACCATGAACCTTCCGACTTCCGAAGGTCAGTCGCCACGTGCGCGTGGCGTGACCCAGCGCCTGGCGCCTGGACGTCGCTCCTGGGGACGGATGGACAGCCGTCCCTTTGCGGTTCAATACTTGCTACGTAGAACCCTTGATTGAAGGCTGGTTGCAGCTCCTTGCAGAAGCTCTGTGAATGTCGTTAATCTTGGAGATACGGGTGAGGGAGGTGGGCTTGGGCGCCGAACCAAAGTAGTCCGTGCACAGGGTGGTCAATCATTGATAGGACCAGTCGTTTAGTGCTACGTGTTGCGATCCTCCCCAGAGCTTTCCGTTCAATCAACATCTCAGAACAGTGCCGCAAATCCACAGACATCCAGCACTAACTCTTAAATCGATAGAACTCCCAAACATCTATCAAACCCAGAACCCACCCAGGACTTTGAAGTATCTGAGGTTATCATGTTTATCAAACTCCTGAAAAAGAAGCCCAAAACTAGTTCCAAACATATACAGTAAGTAGATTCCCAAATCCTCGCAAGAAAAGACCACCAAATCCTCTTACCATCTCTTACCCCTCGCACCAGACCTGCCAAAACCATCCGATGCCACCAGACCATCTGCCTCCGAAGGCAACCTCTAAGATGCGCTCAGCCTGGGAGACGGAGGTAGCGGTCCAGTGGTAGCGGTCCTTTTTACGAATGGGTTTACGAGGTCCAGTTCAGGGTTCAGGTCATTTTCTGGTGCAAACACATACTTTATACGTTATATATAGAGTTTTTTGATGTTATAAGCAACATGGTAATGTGGTATATAAATGACTATATATATATATATATGATCGATTATATATGCAATTAACTGCAATACACTCAATATAATTAGGATTGTTTGGGGTGTACACTGTCTTTTCCAAGGCCTCTACTGTATCTTTCTCCTTCGACACATGGCCGGCGGTTGGCCTGACCACCCTTTGTTTGACCGTCCTCTTCTAAGACTGACATGATGTGATCCCCACTGTCTCCTCCATTTCTATTCTTTTTGGGTCGTGGTGAAAATCCTCTTGGCTTCTCTTCCGAAGCCACTCTTCCTATGCATGCACCTGGGGCTTCCTTCAACGTGACGATCATTCCAAAGCGAGAGTGGTTCAGTAGTTTGAATTCTGCTGGGGTCATGGTGTTCTACTGTATCCATGTGTCTGCTAGACATGGCGACTGGCCAACACTCTGAGGGATGCTGGATCGGACAAGTCGAGGACTGAGGACACCTCTGGGCCTTGGAGGGAGGTTCCATCACCTCCAGGCCAACCATCCACCACCATCCATCACTACCCATCGTCCATCACCACCCGCCTATCCTCTGCTGGGTCCTCCCCCGCCTTGAGCTTCGCTTCTTGCACCTCGCTGACGGGATCCGAGCCTGCCGAGCCAATGGGTGGAACATGAAGCA